TGGCAGCATGGTGCGTGTGTGCAGGTGAGGCAGAGTGTGCGGGGCTAGAGGGAGGTTCGTGCCAGCAAGTCCCTTCAAGACATGGGGGTTCTGTGTGGGAAGTTTGTCCCCATTCTATCATTGGTGGGGTTCAGAATGCTCCTTGATTGTATGTGAACTATAAATCTCAGCAACTACAACTCCCAAATGTTAAGGTCTATTTGGGCATATTGAGTATTCGTGCCAAGTTTGGTCCAAATCCATCATTGTTTGAGTGCACAATGCTCTCTGGATGTAGGTGCACTACAACTCCAAACTCAAAGTCAATGCCCATGCCAGAGCTCCCTGTCGGCCGTCACGACACCCAGCTCCTTCAAGGTCAATCCAGTCACTTCAAGACTAATATAACCCAGTTAAAAACAGATAATGTATATCATCTGCTTTAATAATCTTGATTATATGGCAGCCTAGAAGGGGCCTTAGTCTAGTCTCCGGTCCTGTTCTTCATCCAGATTTCTACTGATGAGATAATAGCTTTAGAAACCACCTCATCGGAATGACAGGAAACCTGATTCATTTGAAGAGTAATTTTCATGCCAAAAATTAAACAAAAAGCAGATCAGTTGCTCATCCAGGGAAGTTAGGGAAAGGGAACCTGTCATCAGGAAAAAGCTGTAATGCCCTAAAGATGAGAACATCCCCACCCTGTTTGGATTTGGTCAAGAAGAAACCCTGGAGGTTCTCCAAACCCAACAGTTTCGATCCCAGTGCGCCTCCCCAAAAGCCTTGCCTACGTCAGATGTAGGCCTTATCACAACATCGTAATGAGAGTCACAAAGGGACACTTTTGGAAACGCGCACCGTGTTGAAGGACCTACCTATAGCACAATGATGCAACTTCCGATTGGAGTGCGCCAGAATCATGACTGGCCATCATTTTTGTAAAGGGGAAAGTATGCAGGGAAAACCAGGATGTCATTGACAAAGAAGGGCAGAATTAAACAGAGAGATATTATCATTTTCCATTACGTTTAATACTACTTTAGGAAATGTGGAACAGTTCAAATAACAGACTCTTCCCATTAGATTGGGAGGCACAGTGGGGCAATGGGTTGAACCAGGGGTCCTCAAACTATGGCCCGGGGGCCGGATACAGCCCTCCAAGGTCATTTACCCAGCCCTCGCTCATGGTCAACCTAAGTCTGAAACGACTTGAAAGCACACAACAACAACAACAACAACAAGTCCATAAAATACAATTTCAACACAATAAAACAATCAATTAGACAGCCCTGCTGTACTCCTTTTTCAATCTTGAACGAACCTGTTGTTCCGTGGTCTGTTCTTGCTGTTGCTTCTTGGTACAGATTCCTGAGGAGACAGATAAGGTGACTTGGCCTCCCTGTCCCACCAAAAACTTGCCACAATTTATTATGATCCACAGAGTCAAAGGCTTTAGAAGAGTCAATAAAACAGATGTTTTTCTGAAACTCCCTGCCTTTCTCCATTATCCAGCGGATATTGGCAATTTGGTCTCTCGTTCCTCAGCCTTTTCGAAACCCAACTTGTACATCTGGCAACTCTCTCTCCATGTATTCCTGGAGTCTACCTTGCAAGATCTTGAGCATTACCTTACTGGCATGAGAAATAAGGGCCACTGTATGGAAGTTTGAGCATTCTTTAGCATTTCTCTTTTTTGTATGGAGATAGAAGTTGATTTTCTTCCAATCTGATGGCCATTCTTGTGTTTTCCATATTTGCTGGCATATGGCATGCACCCCCTTGACAGCATCCTATTTCAAGATTTTAAATTACCTATACATTGGAAGAAATATTTTATGTAATTATAGGTAATAATAATAATAATAATAATAATAATAATAATAATAATAATAATAACTTTATTTATACTCCACCACCATCTCCCCAAGGGACTCAGAGTGGCTTACATGAAGCCAAGCCCGACAACACATCAATATAACAGAAAAGCAATAAACAAAAAACAATACAATTAATATAAATCACATATAAACAATAACACACAAGGATTTAAAAACCTATGGCTGGGCCAAATGTAATAGTTTAATTTTTTTTAAAAAATGCTGGGCATGAACAGAGGTAGGATGTATCTGGTAGGTGGGTTTTAAAAGAAATGAAGGGAGAGCAATCCAACGAGTAGTTAAAGTGCTTCTGAGAACATTTTGCTGGGAATTATTGCCTTATTCAGGGAAGGCACAGGGAGGCTAGAACTGTTTTCAGGCTCCTCCTAAAGACTGCCAATGTGGGGGCTTGCCTGATATCCTTAGGAAGTGAGTTCCAGAGTCGGGGGGCCACCACCGAGAAGGCCCTCTCCCTCGTTCCCACCAATTGCGCCTGCGAAGGGGGCGGGAGCGAGAGCAGGGCCTCTCCAGATGATCAAAGAGATCACGTGGGTTCGCACACAGAAATGCAGTAAAGGTTTTCCCCTGACAAGTCTAGTCATGTCTGACTCTGGGGGTTGGTGCTCATCTCCATTTCTAAGCCAAAGAGCTGGCGTTGTCCGTAGACACCTCCAAGATCATGTGGCCAGCATGACTGCATGGAGCACCATTACCTTCCCGCCGGAACGGTACCTATTGATCTACTCACATTTGCATGTTTTCGAACTGCTAGGTTGGCAGAAGCTGGGGCTAACAGCAGGAGCTCACGCCGCTCCCTGGATTCAAACCTGCCACCTTTTGGTAATTGTAGATTAATGCATTTCATTGCCAGATCTTCATCATAACCTAATGTTAAGCACACATTGCACTATGTAACAATTAGGATTTGTTTCACATCTGTTGTTAACTTCTCGCCCAATTCTCCTGGGTGTCTTTTCTCAGCATTACACCGTTTTTTGGCTGCAGTATTCTCAGGGATTTTTTTTTTTGTTGAGAAAACAGAGTAAAAGCAATTTTGCTGGCCACTTACAAATGCACATTAGTCAGTTTCAACTAATGAATGTTATCATGACAGTCTTCAGGACTTGATTTGCTTTTCTCCATTCAGACAAAATATCTGAAAACCCCCTTATCTAATCTTTGTGATATTTCCAGAAGCCGGTGTTCCATGAAACCAGCGGATGACATCAAGTGCGTTTATCTGTGCCACACATTTCTATGGAAGATAGGAAAGAAATGAAAACATTATTCGTGTTCTTTCTTTCTTCTATCCAACTGAATTCTATCCAACTGCTAGAACTGTGCATTGTGGGTTCAGTCTCTCTTTAACACATGTACATAGTTATTCGTTTCTCTGCACTATCTCTGAAGGACAAAACACTTTGCACAGGGAAGATTGTGGAGATCAAGGTTGGAGCCCATGGACACAGACCTCCATTCTTGTTCTCATTCAGCATTTCTCAACCTGGGGTTTGGACCCCTGGGGGTGTCGCAAGGGGGCTTCAGAGGGGTTGCCAGAGACCATCAGAAACTTACTTACTTACTTACTTACTTACTTACTTAGGTGATCCCTTGTTGGCCGAGTAGGATAGTTTTCCAGGATTCTTGTGGATCCGTAGGTGACTGTGGAGCTCTATTTTTGACCTGCATCTTCTCCCACAGTGAGGGCATTGGTTTCCAGGTGGAAAGCGGTCTCGGTCGGGGTTGGCTTGACATGCCTTCCTCTTGGCGCGTTTCTCTCTTTCACCCTCCATTCGTGCCTCTTCAAATTCTGCAGCACTGCTGGTCACAGCTGACCTCCAGGTGGAGTGCTCAAGGGCCAGGGCTTCCCAGTTCTCAGTGTCTATGTCAGAGTTTTTAAGGTTGGCTTTGAGCCCATCTTTAAATCTCTTTTCCTGTCCACCAACATTCCGTTTTCCATTCTTGAGTTCGGAGTAGAGCAATTGCTTTGGGAGATGGTGGTCGGGCATCCAGACAACGTGGCCGGTCCAGCGGAGTTGATGGCGGAGGACCATCGCTTCCATGCTGGTGGTCTTTGCTTCTTCCAGCATGCTGACGTTTGTCCGCTTGTCTTCCCAAGAGATGTGCAGGATTTTCCGGAGGCAGCGCTGATGGAATCGTTCCAGGAGTTGCATGTGACGTCTGTAGACAGTAAACATATATTTCTAATGGTCTTAGGAATTCTTTGGTGGAAAAGGCTGAAGGTCTCTCCACTTGTCCTTCTCTTCCTTTTTTGAAACAGATGGCAAATCCTCCTACCAAAACCCCTCCTCTGCTAGGTTTGGCTGGTCTCTCAGCCAAAGGGAAAGCTGTTTCTAAGACTTCAAGCTGCGAAGAGAGAGCAAACGTACTTGGCGCATGGAAGCGAGGTGCACATGTGCAGGCAAGGGAGAGCATGTAAGGCTGGAGGGAAGCTCGCTCCAGTAAGTCCCTTCAAGCCATGGGGGTTCTGTGTGGGAAGTTTGGCCCAATTCTATCATTAGTGGGGTTCATAATGCTCTTTGATTGTAGGTGAACTATAATTCCCAACAATTACAACTCCCAAGTGTCATGCTCTATTTCCCCCAAACTCCACCAGTGTTCACATTTGGGCATATTGAATATTCGTGCCAAGTTTGGTCCAGATCCATCATTATCTGAGTCCACAGTGCTTTCTGGATGTAGGTGAACTACAACTCCAAAACCCAAGGTTAATGCCCACCAAACCCTTTCAGTATTTTCTGTTGGTCATGGGAGTTCTGTGTGCCAAGTTTGGTTCAATTCAATCATTGGTGGAGTGCAGAATGCTCTTTGATTGTAGGTTAACTATACATCCCAGCAACTACAACTCCCAATGCCAAAATACCCCCCCCCCCACAACACCACCATTATTCAAATTTGGGTGTATTGGGGTTTTTGGCAAAATTGGTCCAGTGAATAAAAATACATCCTGCATATCAGATATTTACATTACGATTCATAACAGTAGCAAAATTACAGTTATGAAGTAGCAACTGAAACAATTTTATGGTTGAAGGTCACCATAACATAAGGAACTATATTAAGGGGTCAGGGCGTTAGGAAGGTTGAGAAACACTGTTCTAAATCATCTGTTCTCCCAAGGACATCCCTTCAGTGGTGGTGACTGAACACTCACAAAACATGGGACAAGGTCCTCGGAGCATTAATGCACCTCCAGAACCATCTTTGACTTCTGCCTCGGCTCAGAGCATCCCACATGTCCCAACAGCTTGACTTCCCTTCCAGAAGACAAAGAACTTGATCCTCCCCAGAGATGACCACCTCTTCATCAGGAAGGTGAAACATTCCAAAGGTAAATGCCCCTATGTTCTAGAAATCAAAGATCAGGGTGGAAGATGTGAGCTGGTCTGTGAGGATTGGCTTTGCAATCTAGAATTACAGATGTGTGTGCAGCCGGCAACTGGGACACAAGAGGATAACACCTCCATCCGCCTCCCAGACCAACCAGAGGGATGCAACAATCAGAAGCAGGACCCTTGTCACAATCTCTTGTTGCAGCCCTGGTAACTGGTGTAAGGGGAAGAAAACCTTGTCCTCTATATCCCAATGGAAGAGATGTCCGTTTCTGGTAAGGCAGATATGTGGGAGTCGGGGCAAGAGATGATACTGAGTTCAACATTCATAAAACAGAAGGTGATGTAGAAGATGGGCCTTTGTAATTTAGTAACTGAAGAAACGAGTGGCCACCTGCACCTTAGTGAGACATCAAATTAGATTTCCCATAAGATTTTCCAGCCAGTATCTGAATGGTTCAAGGGAGGTATGGGTTTGGGAGCTGCAAAAGCCTCCAGAGCAAAGCAAGGTCTCCAACCCTGGTTTAGAGATTGCTTTTAGCTTCAGATGAGGAACAGTTTAGTTAGCTTAGTTTAAGGCAATGTTTCTTAGCCTGGGAGTCAGAATGCCTGGGGGTGTCAGAGGGATTGCCAAAGACAATAAGAAAACACAGTATTTTCTGTTGGTCATGGGGGTTCTGTGTGGGACGTTTGACCCAGTTCTATCATTGGTTGGGTTCAGAATGCTCTTTGATTGTAGATGAACTATAAATACTAACAACTACAACTCCCAAATGTCAAAGTCTATTTTCCCCAAAATCCACCAATGTTCACATTTGGGCATATTGAGTATCTATGCCAAGTTTGGTCCAGATTCATTGTTTGAGTCCACAGTCCTCTCTGGATGTTGGTGAACTATAACTCTAAAACTCAAGGTCAATGCCCTCCAAACCCAGTATTTTCCATGTGCTAAGATTGGTTCAGTTTCATCATTGGTGGCGTTCAGAATGCTCTTTGATTGTAGGTGAACTATAAATCCCAAGAACTACAACTCCCAAATGACAAAATCAAGTATTCAAATTTTAGCATATCGTGTATTTCTGCCAAATTTGGTCCAGTGAATGAAAATACATCCTGAACATCAGGATATTTACATTACAATTCAGAACAGTAGCAAGATTACAGTTACGAAGTAGCAACAAAAATAATGTCATAGTTGTGGGTCACCACAACATGAGGAACTGTATTCAGGAGTTGAAGCATTCGGAAGGTTGAAAACCACTGATCGAAGGGTTTCCCTTCCCCCATGTCTCCTGAGTGATAGATGGGAATGTATATTTTTATTTCACTTCACTTCACTTTACTTTATTTCTTAATTAGTCGCTCTCCACCAAGGTGCTCCGAGCGACTTACAATCTAAAATAGCGGTCCCTAAGATATATGGTCCTTGGCCATTTTGAGCTCTGAATGTCAGGATCAGTATCTTGTAAGAGATCCGATGTTCTATTGGTAGCCAATGCAGTTGTTGCAGAATCGGTGTAATATGGGATCTTATAGATGATCCCGCTAGCAGCCTGGCCGCTTTTCCCTAACACTATGTGTGAAGGAGTCGTTAAACTGCTGCCACCAATTGTAACGATGACCGTTTTAATGCCACCGAATGCCACCAATTGTGAAGGTACGCGTGGTAAAGCACCCACTGCCACCTTATCTATGAGGGAAGCTGGGCAACGATCAATATCAACCTAGGAGCTATTTTATAAAGGGACTGTTAATTACAGTAGGCTTTATTCACTTGATAGCGTAGCGTTTACTTTCTTGGCTTGACTTTATTATTGCAGGCTGTTCAACTTAGGAGAAACTGTATCAGGCAAGGCTTGAGGAAAATAGTAACAAGTTTACTAACGTTAACAAGTTAACAAACGTCAGGAGAAATGCCTCTAGAACATGGCTCTATAGCCCGAAAAAACCCACAAGAACCTAGTAACAAGTTTATTTTAACAGGAGTATAACAATGTATAACTGTTTCTTCAAAAGAGGCACAAATCTTGATGGATACATTGGAAAGGTTTCATGAGTAAACTCAGGCAAACACTTCATAAGGTTTCACAGCTGGCACAACAGGCTTAAACCCAGCCAAACCTTGATTCTTAATTCAGAATCAACAACCCCCTGTACCGGGTCCTTCTCTGCAACCACTTTGGTCACCAATTGATTCCCTGAATCTCCAAGAGATTCAGTTTTTCCCTATAGCACACTGGCTACAGACACATTCCCTGAATCTCCACCAAAAGATTCAGTTCACTCAGTAGCTCGCTGGCGTACTGACTGACTCTTTTTCAAAACAGCTGCCCCTGAAGAGGCAGTTGGCTCCGCCCCTGTTGCTATGGCAACTCAGCTAACGCCAAGCCACTCTCTCCAACAAAACATAATCTTACATACTTACCATCCCTAAACTACTGTTAAAATTACACATAACCAAAGGATAAAACTTACACATCGTCACACTATGTTTCTCTCTTTCAGTACCGAGCCCCTCCTCTCCTGGAAAGCTCCCCTTGGACTCCGATGGGGAGAATGGAAGAAGCAAGGCCTGTGGAGGGAGAGCAAAAACGCCATTGAGCATCTAGCCAGAAAAAGTAAAAAACATGTCCAACAAAGGATTGACATCTGAGAAAGGTCAAGGCAAGAGAAATGGGCAAGGGAAAAAGAGGGAGGCAAAACCACAATCTGCCAATCCAATCCTCAGGATCAACGTGGTGCAGCAGCTGCCAATGTCCATCCCAGTCTTCAAGAGGTTCCCTGCTGTCCCGCCAAAGAAGGCCCCCCCGGACAGACCATCTAGATGCCCCTTAGAAGAACCACTGCCCGCCATGGCTGTCTTGGGAAGAGGGTTTGGGAAGCCACTTCCTATATTACTGCAGACTTTTGACTCATCTTCAGCAAGGCCACCAGGCTATTTCATGCCTCAGCCACCATCAGTCAAAATGAGGCCGTACCAACCCAGAGAAACACCAACAGATGTTCTCTTCTCTCCACCAAAGAAGCTCCTGAAGCATCAGCCCACCTATATGCACATAATAGCCAGGCGGGAGTTGCCATCCATTCCACTCCCTCCGCAGCCTTCCCAGAATGGTGGAGAGTCACAGACCTCCTTCATATAACTACTGCTGCGGCAGAGAACATTGAGCCCACCAGCAGACCAGACCCTCTGCCTCTTCCTCACAGAGGGACACTTTCATCCCCTGGAAGACCCCACAAGGAGCAGTAGCCCATTCAGGAGAGGAGGAACTGTCAGGAGCAGAGGGCCGGGGAGGAGGCAGCCCAATGGACCATACTGGGCAGGGTCCACTTCTTTAAGGAAGGACAGGACACAGGGATCTCCAATGACTATGGCTATCCTGAGGACAACAACTCTGAAGATTGAAAAAATGTATGTATCAATCGTGGTCATACTTTTAGTTAATTGAATGTCACCTAATTGATAGTTTTGTCCTACTGGTTTTAATAAGTTGTAGAGCAGGCATGGGCAAAAACGTCAATTCTCCATGTGTTCTGGACTTCAACTCCCACAATTGTGGGAGTTGAAGTCCAAAACACCTGGAGGGCCCAAGTCCTGCTCTAGGCATTAATAAACACTGTTGGGCGAGTGGGCATATTAACAAAAAGCCCTCCCATAAATGTACAGCAGAGTAACTTATTAGCAGCAGTGTGACCCAGCACCAGTAGCCCAAAGTGATAAAAAAAAAAAAACCACAGAGACAAATGTGATCTCTTCCTTTGGAGGGTTTTCTTTGTTTTCTTTTTTCTTTTCTTCTTTTTTTACACACAAGGCCTTTAACCTGGGGCTTCTTTCACCAAAGCTTCACACACCAGGCCTTCTCACACTCGGCCTTCTAATAGACTAAGGCCTGCCACACACTGTGAGGCCTACCTCACACAGAGGCTCCTCTCACAGACTGAGGCTGCTAGCATTGACCTTCAAATTCATCTGGAAAAAGCTGGCCTTCCAGGCTAGGTACAATTGGTTGATTGAGTGACCTTTTTTAGTCCTATTATAGGTGCTTTAGTTTAATTCTGCAACTATTATCACGGCTACCTCATCTTATAGAATCATAGAATCCTAGAGTTGGAAGACACCTCATGGGCCATCCAGTCCAACCTCCTGCCAAGAAGCAGGAATATTGCATTCAAAGCACCCCTTCCTATTGTTTTGTCATTTTGTATTGCTGTTCATCCCCTAGTCTACCATTTCAAGACATATTAACCCTCCCTTCTTTTTTCAGGGTGGCATTCCTTCAGATGTTTTCTTCCCTGCCAGTTGCAGCTCTGCACCAAGTGTGGGATAGGAAAAAGCACCTGGCTGTTCATAATGGAGAACAAAACACAACAAAACAAAACAAAAAAAGCGGATCCTCTGTGATTTATTTGTGCAAAATTGCTTGGGGTTTTGCTACAGAAAAAGCAACACATTCCATTACACAGAGAAATCCTCAGGGACACTTTGGGTCCCTCAAATACTGGGAAGTCAGGGACTGTTTTCCTGATAATCGCACTCAATCATTTTTGTAGAAGTTGAGGCTAAAAGGAGAATTTAAATTCAAGCAGGAAGAGCAGACACTAGGTTGCTGTGAGTTTTCCTGGCTGTCAGGCCATGTTCCAAAAGCATTCCCTCCAGACGTTTTGCCCACATCTATGGCAGGCATCCTCAGAGGTTAAGGGAGCAGAAGTTGAGAGATCAGAAGTTGACCCCCTCAACCTTGAGGATGCCTGCCATAGATGTGGGTGAAATGTTAGGAGAGAATGCTTCAGGAACATGGCCGGACAGGCCGGAAAACTCAAAGCAACCCAGTGATTCTGGCCATGAAAGCCTTTGACAGCACAGAGCAGACACTCCTGCCTCTACCTAGCAAGAGATCCTAGCAAGAATATTTGCAGACCATAATCCAATTCTATTGAAACTAAGAAAAGAAAACAGCAACTGGATACAAAGGATCATACTGTATTTTGGAAGGGGATTCAAGAATGAAATAGAGGGCTTTTCATTGTTGTTGGTTAACACTTCAATCCTGCAAAAGAGATAGTTCCCACAATTGCCAAATTGTTTATTTCAGACTGATTTACAGCACTGAAGAGAATGAACAAAAATCCCTGCTGGAAACAAGGTGGGAACCTTCCTGCCCTTGTGAAATGAAAGCCTGCACTGTGGCGATAAGACCACAGACACTCGGGCTTTGCCATTTGCTCCTTTTTGTTTAAACTATCAAATGGGGAACCTTTCCGTGATTAACACATGCCTATTTGAACCAAAATGGGTCCATGAAGACTAAACAAGAAGTGACACGGGGGATGTGTGATCAGATCTCCCAACATTTTGTTCTTATCTGAAAGCAGGCAGATGGGACTCCAATAATGATTGGAGAAAGGGCAACTGGGGGAGAAAATTCAGCTCTTGTTCAATTTCCCTGATCTAAGTTGGCCTCTAAGTTATTAGATACTGAATTGACATTTATATTTTACTAGCTTAGGATTCCCGGCGCTGCCCGGGTTATTTGAGAAAGGAATTGTGTATCAAGGTTGATCTTTATCAGTTATTTGTATGGCTCACAGTGGTCTCAGGAAGTTAGTGAAGGTACTGTGAGTCCCATCATCTGTGGTCCATCCTCCTCCAAACTGCACCAGGATGGAGAATGGGTCATGGGGGCTCTGTGTTCCAAGTTTGGTCTTGATTGGTCATTAGATAAGTGTTGCAGAAGTCTTGGGAAGTGAATGGAGGTACTTGAAGTCCCATCATCCATAGTCTGTACTCCCCCAAACCTCACCAGAATATTGAGTTGGCCATGGGGGCTCTCTGCGCCAAGTTTGGTCTTTGTTGGTGGCCACAGTGGTCCCTGGGAACCAAACCGTTTGAAAGTACTACACATCCCATAATCCATGGTCCACCTCCCCCAAACCGTACCAGGATGCAAAAGGGTTGATGGGGGTCATGTGTGCCAAGTTTGGTCCAGTTGCGTCACCTGTGTTGGTCACAGTGGCCTGTGAAAGTGGCAGCCAGTCAGAAAGCTGCCACATACACTTCCGTCCTTCCTTGCTTCCTCCCTTCCACCCTTCCGCCCTCCGCATACATACATACATACATACATACATACATGCATGCATACATACAAACATTCACTTTTATTATAGATATAGATATAGATTTTGTCATAACTTATGTATATCCTGCCTTTATTCCAGTATGCAACTCAATGTACAATGTAAGTAAAAAGAAAATACAGGTAGGTTGCTGTGAGTTTTCCGGATTGTCTGGCCATATTCCTGAAGCATTCTCTCCTAACATTTCACCCACATCTATGGCAGGCATTCTCAGAGGTTGTGAGGTCTGTTGGGAACTAGGCAAGTGAGGTTTAAATATCTGTGGAATTATGCCCAGGGTGGGAAAAAGAACTCTTGTCTGCTTGACGCAAGTGTGAATGTTGCCATTGGCCACCTTGATTAGTATTTAATGGCCTTGCAGCTTTAATAATAATAATAATACTTTATTTGTACCCCGCTACCATCCCCCCAAGGGACTCGGTGCGGCTTACATGAGACCGAGCCCACAATACAACAATTTAAAAAATAGCAACCGTAATACAAACAATAAATAAACTCATAAACAGAAAATAGCAATAAACATTAACTATAACACAACGACATTTAAAAACCTATGGCAGGGACAAATGTACTAATTAAAATTTTAAAAAATAATGCTGGGCGTGACCAGGTGACATATAAACAGGAGAGAAATTTTGGAGAGGGATAGAGCATGTAGACAATCCTAGATCTTTAAGGTCTGGCTGCTTACTGCTTGTGGAATCCTTTGTTGGGAGGTGTTTGCTGACCCTGATAGTTTCTTGTCTGGATTTGAGTGTCCCTGCATTTGAGTGTTGCTCTTTATTTACTGTTTTGATTTTAGAGTTTTTTTTAATACTGGTAGCTAGATTTTGTTAATTTCATGGTTTAATGTCCTTGCAGCTTCAATGGACTGGCTGATTGCTGCCGGGGGGGGGGGGGGTTCCTTTGTTGGGAGGTGTTAGCAGGCCCTGATTGTTTTGTGTCTGGCATTCCCCTGCTTTTTGAGTGTTGCTCTTTGTTTTCTGTCCTGATTCTAGAGTTTTTCGATCCTTGCAGCCAGATTTTGTTCATTTTCATGGTTTCCTCCTTTCTGTTGAAATTGACAACATGCGTGTGGATTTCAATGGTTTCAGGTAAACCTCAGTTAACAAAGTAAATGTTTTCCTCCGCAATGCTTCTTTGGTGGAATATTTGGTACCAGAGGCAGGAATAACTTGGAAGTAATGAGAAGAGTCTGGTTTCCCAGCCACTCAGTGAGTTTCCATGGCTGAACACAACATTAGAAAGCTGGTCTTGCCCGCTACACACTCCACGGCACCATCCTGGCTCTCAGAATTTAGGATCATTTAAGAAGCAGTTAATTATACATAGCTTTGATGTCAAAATTACAGCACAAAAAGACAAAAAATAATTTAGTTGGTGGTCAAAAAAGAACATGGCATTGCTAACAACAGAGAAACAACACCCTCCTTACATTCCTTCCTTCCTAGGGAGGCACTGAAAATATGCGGAAAGAGATCTCCCAGGGGCACACCTTTCCCCTTCTTCCTCCATCTCCCTGGAGATGATCCAGCTCATGCCCACTGGAGCCAAAGGCCATCTTTTCTCCTTTGCAGGTTGTCATCAACTCGGCTCATTAGACATTCCTAGAATTCCTGGGAGAGAGTTAGAAGTCAAACAGTGTGCATTAACCTGCCTGGACATGCCAAGTGAATTACCTAGCAGCGGGATCTGAGGCTTTGCAACCCCTTCCCAAGGATGCAGGCAGGGCCGTAGCCAGAAAAAAATTTCGGGGAGGGTTGACAATTTCAGGGGGGGGGTTGAAAATTTTGGGGGGGGGATTTCGGGGAGGGTTGAAAATTTGGGGGGGGGGGGTTGGAACCTGCCTCCTAGCTCACGCTGAAGCAAAGCGCACAGCAGGGGGCAGAGCAACCTTCAATAGCCTGCAGCTCCACCCCTGTCAACCACCTCCACCAAGTCTGGCCTCCTTAATGAGAGCATTCAACACACACACACCCCACTTGGTTGCTTCACTACATCGGCTATTGCTGCAAGTAATGACAGTGTGAATAAATTGTCAATATTTGCTTGAGATAGTGCTTACAGCTCTGGAGGGACTCTTAATTTTTTGCATCTCATAGACTTAGCATGGGGATTTGGTTAACCAGTTAAAATTCATGAATAAACCAGGTTTTTAAAAAAAAAATCTGAAACATTTCGGGGGGGGGGGTTTGAACCCCTAAAACCACCGCCTCGCTACAGGCCTGGATGCAGGCATCCTGAGTGTGAGTTATGTCCTCTTGCCTGTCAGCCTATGGTGACCCCATGGATTTAATAGGCAAAGAATGCTCAAGAGAGCAAAGCTAAAAATATGGAAATCTATCTACTTGGAGAAAGGGCTACAATAGGGCTCAGGAACCTTTCCTACTAGGCTTGGGTAACCACGGAAAAATTTGGTTCTAAACTCGTTTCGTTTTTAGGGGAGCCCTTGCATTTCGTTTTTTTAAAGAATTCCGAAATTTTCCTTTAAAAAAGTTCAAAATATACGAAATTTCGTAAAATTACGAATTGATTCGTTAATGGCGGACGCGATTGCGCAAAATGCTAAAAACCCTCCAAATGGGACAGGGGGAACTTCTGAAGCTTCCCTCTCCCTCTGTTGTTGACTGTTGGTGTGACAATTTATTTTTTATCACTGATAAAACAAACAACAACTATAAAACTTGCACCAGACATACGGAAATAATTACGAAACAATTTCGAAACAGTTTTGAACCAATTACGAAACAATTACGAAACAATACGAAATAAATTGGAAAAATTGTTTCGATTTTTCATTACTCCTCACAGTAGTCCTGCATGGCTCAATATTGGATCGTAAGCTAATTTAAATACGAATTAATAACGAATTACGAAATTAACGAACGAAACCGCCCAAGTCTATTTCCTACATATGGAGTCAACAGGGCTTCTTTTATTTTGTGTCAAAAGCATTGCATAGGTAAGTTTAAAACTGATAAAAATAGAAGGAGCACAAGCACCAAAACCGGACAACAGCTGACAGAAATATTAAAAAGTAACTGGTTATTTTTAATTACAAAAATGTGAGTCAAACACTGAAAGGGTTAAATCAGGGGTCCCTCAAACTGTTGGAGGACTGGATTATAATTTGAAAAAAAACATGAATGAATTCCTATCCACACTGCACATATCTTATTTGTAGTGCAAAAAAACACTTTAAAACAATACCATAATTAAAACGAAGAAGAATAAATGTATTAGTATTTCAATGGGAAGTGTGGGCCTGCTTTTGGCTGATGAGATAGGGTTGTTGTTGTTGTTGTTGTTGTTGTCTTGTTTCAAGTCGTTTCAGACTTAGGTTGACCCTGAGCGAGAGCCGGGTAAATGACCTTGGAGGGCCGTATCCACCCCCGGGCCATAGTTTGAGGATTTCTGGGTTAAATGGACACAGTGACTCAGCAAAAGCTGTAGTTCAACATAAGAAGGTAT